TGTTGCATTTACTGCTAGCTCTGGGTGGTTTAAATGATTCTGGAATTGTTATTCATTACATAATGAAAAAGTGAATGGTGAGTCTGACAGTGCTGATGTGAAGGCAGCTAAAGAACTTTTGGAAATTCTAGATGTGCTGATTGTGGAGGAAAATTACTTGCCAGAGCAAATATTCAATATGGCTGAAACCTCCCTATTCTGGAAGCAGATGTCTAAAGGACTTTAATCTGTTAAGGAGGCCAAGTCAGTGCCAGGTTTCAAGGCTTTTAAGAAAGAACAGTCTTGCTTGGGGGCTATGTTGCAGGCTACAAATTGAAACTCTTTTTGATCTGGCACAGTGAGAACCCCAGAGCCTTCAGGCATATTAGTAAGCACACACTGCCAGTGTACTGTAGAAACAGAAGTCATGGATGACCAAGCTCCTCTTCCAAGATGCTCTTCTGAATTACTTTGCCAGTGAAATGGAGGAGTACTATTTGGGAAGTAACATACATTTCAAGATTTTTTTAGTGTTGATAATGCTCCTGGACATTCTCCTTTTATTGGTAATATTTATTCCAAAACCCAATCTCCTTCCAAATACCACTCTTTGATGCAATCAATGGGTTAAGGAGTTAAAGCAGCTTTTAAGGCCTACCGCCTGAGGAGGACATTTGCCCAGGCTTTTCCTGCAGTTGAGGAAGACACTGATGCAATTCTGGAAAGATTACAACACCTGTGACTGCATCAAGAACCTTGCTTGAGCTTGGGGTGGTGTCACCAAGGAATATATGAATGGCATCTGGAAGAAGACACTCATGAGGCTCATCTATGACTTCAGAGGATTTGCCAAGCATGAGGAGGTTGCAAAAATCAACAAGCTGTGGTTGAGATGGCAAACATCTTTAATCTGGGTGTGGGTGAGAATGCCATTGAGGATCTCCTAGAGGTGGCTCCTGAGGAATTGACTAATGAATTGTTGGAACAGGAACATGTAGCTGAAGAAGAGGCAAGAGAAAGCGAAACTGCAGAAGAAAAATAACCCCCAAGAAAATTTACAGTGGAAGGTTTAGCAGAAGCTTTTGTAGACCTTAACAAGCTCCTTAAGTTGAAAACATGGACCCCAACACTGCAAGATTTTCATTAACAGGAATGTTTATGGTGCCTTATCTGGTTAGGAGTAAATCTGATGAAAAAAGAAACAAACCAAGCAAACTCCTGTGGACATATTTCTGAAAAGAGTGACACCTCTTCAAGAAGAGCCTGAGGCAGGTTCTTCAGGAGGTATTTTAGAAGGCAGCATTGTTATCATGCGTGTTATTTCCCCTGAAGACCTAGTGGGGCAAGATATGGAAGTATAAGACAGTGATGTTGATGCTCCTGTTGACCCTGTGTAGGCCTAGGCTAATGTGTGTGTTTGTGTCTTAGGTTTGTTTTGTTTTTTAATCCTCTTTGAAGGATTATTTTTTTAATTGTTTTTTGAGAGAGAGAGGAAGGGAGAGAAAGAGAGAGAAAGAAAGAAACATCGATGGGAGAGAGAAACATTGATTGGTTGTCTCTTGTATGTGTCCCAACTGGGATTGAACACGCAACCTAGATATGTGCCCTGACCAGGAATCAAACCCCCAACCTTTTGGTGTATGGGACAACACTCCAACCACCTGAGCCACCTAGCCAGGGCTCTATATTAGTTTGTAACAAAAAAGTTTAAAAAGTAAAAAAAATAGCCCTGGCCAGTATGGTTCTGTGGTTAGACTGTTGGGCCGAGCACTGAAGGATCATGGGTTCAATACTCAGTCAAGGACATGTACCTGGATTGCAGGTTCAGTCCCTGGCCCCAGTCAGGGTGTGTGCGGGAGGCAACCAATCAATGTGTATCTCTCACATCAATGTTTCTGTCTCCTCTCCCCTCCCACCCCATCCTTTCCTCCCTTCCACACACTCTAAAAATCAGTGGAAAAAATGTCCTTGGGTGAGGATTAACAATAACAACAAAAGTAAAAATATAAAAAATTTAAGCATAGGAAAAACTTAAAGAATTAAGGATCTATAAATAAAATATTTTTGGCCCTAGCCAGTTTGGCTCAGTAGTTAGAACATTGGCCTGTGGACTGAAGGGTTGTATGTTCGATTCCAGTCGAGGGCACATACCTTGGTTGCAGGCTTTATTGGCCAGGGCTCCAGTTGTCTCTGTATTGCCATCTCTGTTGAAATTCCCCATCTGCTCACACATGTTCACCTTTTCCATTAGATCCTTTAACGTATTTATTATAGTTATTTTAAAACTCTGTAATAATTCCAATTTCTTAGCCATCTCTGGATTTGGGTCTGATGACTTGTTCCTCTCTTGATGAATCACATTTTCTTCTTCATGTGTCTTACTTTTTTATTGAATGCCAGGCAGTGTATATTAGAAAGCACATTTTGTAGGTTGTCTGACTTGATTTTGTTGTTAGGATGTGAGTAACACTTCCTTCCTACTTCATATTCTCTAGCAGATCTCTGTGTAATTGTGTGTGTGTGTGTGTGCCTGCCTGCCTGCCTGCCTGATTGACTATCTGATTTTGCAGGTGTTACCTGATTTAGGCTTTAAGGTAGTGATACCCAATCATGGAATTGCAATTTTTCACATAATTTTAAGTTTGACCTGTTCTTTTTCAAAAATCTGTTTGAATGAATTTGAATTAACATTAAAACATGAATTAATCATAATTTATTTGCTACCTTTAGGAATTCTCTTCCATATGGAATTGTAGCCCCCCTCCCCCCCAGAAAAACAAGTGGGTCACAAAATAAGCATTATTAGCAGTTTAGAAAGAAAGAGAACAGAATGAAACCTTCCCAGAATTTATGAGTCATTACACACGCAGCCCAGTGTCTTCCACCATGGCATAATGCAAAGTGATGTGCAGAACCTGACTTCAAGAACTGCCACATCTACAATCATCAGAGATATGTGTTTTTGTTTTTGTTTTCCCTAAATTGAACTTAGGTAGATGGGCTCAGACATTTTAGAAAGATTTTCAGTAATAAAGACTGAAACTAAAGGTATTTGGGGTGAGCCAGGAAATTGTTAGCCACAGTGCTGCTTAATTCTCTGCTCCATGTGGTTGAGTTTTTATTGAATCTGTTTTAAAAAATAAGATGTATTGAGAAAAAAAGAGAAATTGATGTGTTTAAATAGATATTGAAAAAAATGAGTAGTTCCTAAGGCATGGTTATATTTGCAAAAAATATTCTTTGTAATGCTCACAGCATCATGATTATTCAAAATGTCCATTATTCAAAAGGTTGCTTTTTTTGTTGCCATCTCTTTAAATGCCTTTTTGCTCTGTATTTCTTTCCCCTCTTCCCAATAATCACACAGTGCTCAATCCCTGTTAACAGAGTTTAAAGGACTAAGGAAATAACCTTGGCATTGGCTTTGTTAAAAGTGAAATGAAACTGCTTTTTAAAGCAGATACCTGTAATTGGTGCTAATGAAGGTGTTCAAAGGTGTTGATCTGGTCTGTCCCTAAGCTAGGGCCTAGTTCCATTTATAGAATGTTAAGTCGTCAGTGTATACAACCCTGTTACAGTTTTCTAACTGAAAGGTAGGCAAGGAAACTGAACACCTTTCTTGAAAGATATTCTCATTTGGCTCAGATATCTTTAGTATTTTTTGTAAGTAGCCCCCCCTCCCCCAACTCTCCATTACCATATAATAGAACTGTTTAAGAAAATTTTGTTAGTATTAATGTGGATAGATTTTCTTATACTTGTATATGCTTGTGTTACTATGGATAGGATTTTTTGTAATATGTGTGTATCATATAATTAAGTTACTTTGAATGTATACTTAAAATTTTCTTAAAAGACTTCATTTTCTTGTTAACTTGATTGTCTTATTTCCAATACTGCTTAGAAATTGCTACTTTCAGCTTTGTTTCCAGTTAATTAGGGTACTAGCCAAAGTTAGAATATAACTTCCAGGAACATTTGAGCATCCGTTTTCATGGAAGACAGATAAAAAAAAAATTTAAATTAAAAAGAACTTTGTTTTTAATCTCTGTAACTAAAGCATTTTATAAGTGGGAGAAGGTTTTAGTGTTGTAACCAGCACTTAGTTTTGTTGGCAAGCTGTGATGCTACCTGATTTTTTTTTTTTTTTTGCACCTGTTACATTTTTTTCACTTTGTTCAGAATCTTAGAAATGTGCTTGTGTCTTGCTTGAGTACTCTATTAAAACATTTTCATGACTAGCCTTGCATTTTAGGTAAATCATTTTGAATTTTAATAAATATCAATTGAATGTGAATGTGGGGGTGAGAGTTAAATATGAAAGAAGTATAAGACCTTGTCTACTTTATTTGTTCTTTACTTATTGAGCAAATCTCATCTGCCAGACATTATACTGAACTTGGGGGATGTAGATATGAAACATTTATCCCTTTATTAAGGAACATTCAAATTCTTACTCATAATCTTTGGGTGAAGTTAAAGGAAACGAACTGTTAACAACACAGAGGTAAGACCTGAGGTGGTATGAACTAGGTGTTCTGAGATTGAGAAGGGAGGTGTTCTTAAAGCTCATTCTTAAAGGACTAAAAATTATTAATCACGTAAAGAGTGACAGGAATTGCCAGCTGAGAAAACAGCACTTGGAAATTTTCCTAGAGTGTTAATAATTATGGTTATGCCCTAGAAAAATTGTTAAATTGAATAGCTATAGACTTAATTTGCAAGCTGAGTGAGGAATAGTTAAAATGTTGTTTTTAAGTCCTCACCTAAGGAAATTTTTTCCATTGCTTTTCA